TTACAAGCCCCTACCCATTTTGGAAAGAATCAACTTTTTAAAAGTCTTAGTGAGAATGGAGGCCAAGACGTTAACTGGGCCTCAGGTGGTACAACGACCACGACCTCAGCCCCATTCTCATAATTCACCATTTTTGGTCCAGATAAAACTTTAATTATAGACTGGCATCATACGTCAATAGCAGTCAAGCCGTGGATCTTCTCATTTCAGAAAGTATGATGGCACCTTTGGCCAGCTTCATAAATTGGGGCAGTTAGAGGCATTCCCTTAAAGACGGTCACTTAAGAAATATGGTTCAGTGCTTCATTTTTTTTGAACATGTAGTTTCTTAAGTTTTGGGTTGTTATTGATCCAGGAACTTTTCAAACAATAAGCTGACAGGCACCATTCCAGAAAGTTTAGCTGATCTGACAGAACTAAAGTCCCTGTAAGTATAAATCCAGTCTAGCATGCGTATAAGAAATGGGGAAGAAAAGCGAATTTCATTGGCATGTACATGGTTTCATTGACAGGGATTTGTCACAAAACAATCTTAGTGGGCAGGTGCCAATGGCATTGATAGAAAAGAATACCAGTGGAGCACTTGTATTAAGGTTAGCACTGATATTCTCTATATTGTTTTTCTCTTGGTAATTCTCTTCAACTAATTGTTTTGGTTTTTGATGCATTTAGAATTCATGAGAATTCCAACCTTTCAATAACCAACTCATATCAGCCTCCTAGACAAACGAAAAGTAAGAAGACCGTGGCTATTTTGGTAATATCTGTTGCTTCAGCAGTCAGCTTGCTCTTCGCCTTGGTTGTCGGGTTAATAGTGAAGAAAATAAAAGTCTCGGTGAGCTTCAGTTCAATCCAAGATGTAATCTAATATGATACAACTAGCATCAAAATGCCAAAGGACAAAAAAAAAAAAAGAAAAAAAAAAAGAAAAGCAGGAATAACACCTCAAAATTTTGCAGCTTGATTTCAGTTCTCTAAAAATCTAGGCATTTAGCCCATTTGTTTAAATTCCTAGCATTTTTCTAAAATCAGAACTACATACTCTTTCTATGAATTATGCCATTTATTTTAGGTTTTTTCTCTAAAAATGACCGGCACAAACCAAACGTAATCCTCTTAACCACCAAATCACAAAGAATATATATTAAGATATGTATACTGTCATTTCAACTTCTCTGCCAAACTATCTTCGAATTGATCCATGACAGATGTAAAAGCACAATTGCCTTTGTTCACAAGAGTTCATCTGTACTGTATCTAAGAGTCGAAAGATGCCATCCACAATCACTTGACAGCATAGTTCAGTGGTCAATGCTGTTCCATTTCTCTTCTGAAGAGCCACTGTAGATCTACATCTTACGAGATAGATTTAGCTACTTGACTGAAACAAAGAAGCACATGGAGACTTCATTTTCAACAATAATAATAATTAGTGCATCAAATTGTCATGCCATGCCAATTCAACTTTTAGCCAAACAGACCTATCACTGATAAAGCGAGTGGTGACTGTACGCTTTTATCCCTAAAATAGGCCACAACCGTCCAGAAACTTGAAAATGAAAAAGCAACTGACTACTAAGTTGTCTAGAGCAACTCAATTGGCAAGTAAGTTGCCTGGGCTTGGATGGCACCTAATAAATCAACACCCCATACATCATTTGTCTTGAGTATCAAACGGTTAGGGAACCCCAACTTTTGCTTTCAGCCTCAGATATCAGACTTGGTTTGTAGGGCATAAGGCTGACATGGGTGTTTCAATCATTTAAGATTTATCTAATACAAGTTGAATAATTCTGAAAGCCTAAAGACTTTTCTGTATATTGTAAAATATACAGAAAAGTTTGGTAGTTTTTTCTAGATGGAGGATGACTCTTATGGCTAGTTTCATGACCTGCAGCTAGCAGGCTTCCAAATAAATGGTTTTTTTTTTTTTTTCTGAATGTTCCAAATAAATGGATTTATTTTTCACTAAGCTTCCAATAAATGTTCCTTAATATTTTTTACCATAACTTAGTTCCTCCTACAGCCAACCCCAAATAATTACAAAATCGCTCTGACGATGATGAACTTATTTCCTCCTACAGGCTCCAAAGATTTATGCATGTAGGATTCCTCTTCCTGTATCTTAAAACCTATAATTAAAGATTTCCATCTGCAATATAAAATCCAAAAATCGACTTTAGAGTTGATACAGTTTTGGACATAAGTGCACCACAGCTCCAGTACTTGATACCGCCATTTAGAAGCAAAAGTGTTTGCTGGATAAAACATGAAGGGGAATAGATCACACCCATATTGGGATTGAGTTTTGCCAAAATTGAAAGTTGGACGTTGCATCCCTAACAAAAATTCAACAGTACGTGATTAAAAGTGAACTCCCATTTTAATTAGTAAATTGTGAACAAGTCCAAGCTCTTTAATTTTCTCCTAGAAGTCTTTAATTGTTTTTCAACATTCCAATTTCTTCAGAAACCCTTTCTGAGTTCTAAGTTCCAGGTTGAAATGTCTCATGCAAATTTCTTGAACTATTGTTGGGGTCCTTTTTCCAAATAGGAAGCATCTATGCAGCCCAAGCTACCTCAAACCAGGCCTGAAATTTCAATGACACAACCCCGAAACCATACCACTACTAAGCCAACTGTGTATTAGGTAGAGGATAGTCCAAGATTAAGTGTACTTGATTATATTTTAAAAAGAGAAACAGATGTGAAGTCTTAAAGTAAGCAATGGGAATTCATTTTTCCAGAAACCATTATAGAAACCTACTCAGACCTCTTTTCTAGATGAACCAAAAATAGACATTTCACTTTTGGATCTTTTGGGCCTGTGTGGCCCCAGGTTTTGTTTCCTGTACAACCTACATCTTCCCATTTAGATAATAATTCCATTCTCCGTTTCATATTTTGTGTAAGGTGAAAACATTTTTAATTTTGAAACTCTCGGGTGTATAATTTTTCTCAAAATTAGTTGTTATTTAATCTCCAGAAAAGGCAATTTTGTGATCATTTCTAAATATAGTAAAATTGTAAAAACATGCATCAGGGAAACTGGTTTTGACTGCATCTTCGAAAGCACTTTAAATGAGACCTGCCTGAAAGTTTAATGTGGAAATTTTTCCAACGATGGTAGGGTAAATGTCTGATCAGATCCATATATAGTTTATGGTATACATATTTTTTTCCTACACCATTGAATCAGGAGAAGAGAAGTTGTGTAACAAAGAAAGGGATGACACACCAAAACCAGATGCCACCAGAGCATTTACACATGCAGAAATTGTAAAAATCACCAATGACTTTGAAAAGGTCATTGGCAAAGGAGGCTACGGGCCTGTTTTCTATGGATGCCTAGAAAATGGCCATGAAGTTGCTGTGAAGTTACTGTCCCAGGAATCACAGCAAGGATATAAGGAATTCCTTGCAGAGGTTCGTATAGACAAAACAAACTAAATACCATTTGTATACTTGTGTATAAATTTACTAAGGATATATGCATTTGGACTTGGTCAAGCAGGTTAAACTGTTGATAAGAATTCATCACAAGTACTTAGTCTCTTTCATAGGATTCTGTGACGAAGGCCCAGAAAAGATTCTGGTCTATGAGTACATGTCAAAAGGGAATCTGAAAGAGATTTTGTCAGGTACAATTCCCAAGCCATCAGAATATTTTTCATTTTCATCTACAATGTTAGTTTTCCCCTTTGAATAATTTGTGACATTTCCACCAATGATTAAAATGTTAAGTTTTATTATAAGCAGTGTTCTAAAACTCAGGCGAGTCAACTTAGACTCAGCCGCTTGAGTTACTCAGACTGGTCAAGGTGCCATGTCCGAATAGGAGCTGTCACACACATTCAATTCGTACATGTTGATACTATAACTTGTACAAACTCATCCAAGTCTCTAACAGACGAGCAACACTGTACAGATGACTCGGACTTGTGGTCCTCCCGAGTCCTAAGTCTGAGCCTTGTTTTGAACATTGATTATAAGTCCCTTCTTCCAAGTGCATGAGTAGGATAAAAAAAACATTCTAGTCATTTTTATTACGCCTATTGTACATGTAGAAACAGATAGATGAAAGCAACCGAACCGCTGGATGTCCTTACATAAATGGAACAGTTTGTTAGTTGTTATGCCTCTAGTACTCCATACAATAATACCCTAAATAAATAAACTGAAAATAAAAACGAGTGCAAGACATTAATCTTTAGCAAAATCTACTTATGACGCTTTAAAAGCAACCATATAATGAGTATGGCTCTCTGTGGATAGTCCTATTTTGAGATCATCCTCATATTGAACTTAATTGATAAATAGTGACATTTGATTTCTTGTAACTAGACCTCTCTGGAGTACCATGGAACTCTGGATTTGAGGATCGGTATAACAGACTTTTATTTTCAGAAGAATATAGCTAACTACTGAGAAACCACTATTTTTTGTCACCCCGATAAATTTATTTCTCTCCAAGGAAATATAATGTGACATTTTGGATGGCCCTTCATTTGGGTTTCATGCTAAATATCCCAATCTGCATTTGTAAAGCAAGTAAGAGATGGTACAGTTGACATGGGAAACCAGAATCCACTTTTCAGAGTGATGCGTGATTGCTTAAGATGAGAAATCACAAGATCATGAGTAAATAAAAGTCACTAGATCATGAGTAAATCAGTATCTATGAGGTAGGGAATGTAACTCATAGAAAATGTCAACCCCCCCCCCCCACACTTAGGAACTCCAGCGTGAATCTAGTTATGGATGTTATTTCAGCAGGACAAGAGACAGGGTTGAGATCCCGTGACCCATGCTTATTAAGTAAATCTAGCACACTCTGGAAATACATACAATTACCAAGGAGTCCAATATATATGAAGAAAACAAAAGGACAAAAGGATTCCTGGAAGTACGTACAATACCAAAGAGACCACTTGATGCAAATGAAACAAGAATGGAGAAATGGATAATCTTGAAGTGCACAATGAATGTTTTTCTTAACAAATCAAGGACACTCTGTCACGAGCAAATACTTGAGAGGCAGATTCATATTGAAGATATCTATAGGAGGGCAGCAGGATCATGTCAATGATATCTAAGAGCACCACCTTAACTTGAAATATCCTTGCAATAATATGAATGCACATGTCTCCACGTAGCCTTACAACATTGTCAATGTTGGACCATTCTACATCATTAAACTCACCTTGTCAAGAGTAATTTGAAGAGAGAATGCTAGATAAATGAAGCATAGAGAACAATGTTTCAAAAGCGCTAGGTAGGTCCTAGGCGGCCGGCCTGGGGGGTCCAGTCTTCCCAGCTTCTAGGCGGGCACCCAAGTCGAATCGAATCAAAAAAGGATGCCCATTTGAATGAAAAAAGGATATATAATATAAAAAATAAAAATTAGGTATTTAGGTCACTTTGAGTTTGATTAATCAATCTTCAAACTTCCACCTCAAAGATGCTTCTAATTACTCAAAATTTTCTAAAAAACCCCCAATAGATTTATAAAACATAAAAAAATTAAATCTAATATCAATGGGTGATGTTTTGATCAATTTTTGTCAACTTTGAGAAACCCTTCGATCCTAAAGAAATCAGTTTATCTCTCTAAAATGGGCTCCAATAAGTTTTAGGCTTCAAATGAACTTAAAACCGTCCTTCTAACCCTTTATATTTAAAAAAAAAAACAATACAAAAAAAAATTTCCGCCTTTGGGCGGGATGCTGGCTTAGGCGGGTTCCGTACCGCCTAGGCAGGGCGCAGGCCCCGGCCACAATGGGCTTGGCGCTGGGTGCCTGCCTAGGTGGATTTTGTACCGCCTAAGCGGACGTCCAGGGACTACCTCTCATATTAGCCTCCTAGGCCTGGGCGCATCGCCCAGGCCTTCTGGACCTCCTAGGCGCTGGCCGGTCCGCTTTTTGAATCACTGAATTAGATAATAATAAAGTAAATATGTTACAAATGGCAGAGCATGCCATGGCACAGACATACAAGAAAAGGATTTAAATACAGAATAAAATGCATACAATACATAGAAATAACAAATTGAAGGAATATGCTATATAAAGAGGAAGTAATTCAAATAAGATATATAAAACAAAAAGTATGGAAAAAGCAATATAAGGACCATACATATTTCAACTAAGAATTATCTGATTTTGCCAATAGTTCTGTCAAGAGGTTCCCAAACTCCATCTACTTCCATAATGGTCATGACCAGTGTTCGCAAAACCGAATCAGAACGGTTTATTGAACATGGGGCTAGAAGCAATTTAACCGGCCTAACTGATAAACCGGCCGATTCAACCGTTCTAACCAGGCAAGTTACGGGTGGCCAAAAATTGTTGAAAAAAGTAAAAAAGATGCAAAAAAAATCTACTAAAATATGAATAGCATATAAAGAATGATTAGAACAATGAAGTAGAAAATTAATGAAAAAATGGATTTTAAAAGAGAGTTAACATAACGTAAAATATTACAAAATGTATTACAAATCAAAGTCCTTATTTTTTGGATTTTATAGACATTTTTTTGAATTTTTATTTTTAAAATAGCGGCTGATCTAACTAGGCGGTTACCGGTTTGATCGGGTGGTTTTTCAAACAATGGTCATGAAACATATATTAAAGAAAATAAATTGTTCAAGCCATGAATATGAGAAACTTCACACAAAAATCTAATGAAGAATCTAGAAGAAGTTAAGGGCAACATTTTCTGGAACTTTGGTCAATTCTCTACAAGACTAAGAATCATTCAAGCAACACTTGAAGAGTTATTGATAATATGGGAGGCGCTTTTGTCCCTTTTAGATGAGATTGGAAAGGACCGAAAGCAGAAGGGAAAGTAATTAACATCACTAAAATAGGATGTAGATTAATCAAGGATATGGAGAACTTAGTTATTCCTGAAAACTACCAAAGACCACCAGCTGAAAAGAACTGTAGTATTTGGTGTCCAAATAAATAGAATTATTAAAAGAATTTCATGTGCACAAGTGGTAAGAATATCCTAGAACATATATTAGATTTCATCAAGCAACTCACAATTGGAACATAAACTTGTGAAAATTACCTTGCATTGATCACATGGTTGGAAAGACTAACTCACAGACACAAACATTGTGCTACTATACTGTTACAGTATTCAACAAATATATTATTGTAACTCAAGAAGCTACATAAAAAATTTGACACAAAAACAACCTTGAAGAAGTGAAATTCTATCCGATCTGTGTGTATTCTTTTCATAAGTAGCCTCAATGTGCTTGAGCATTACAAGATTCATTTAGAGTAGGAATGAAAGGAACTTGAAGTGTTTGCCATGTCATGCAGATAAAAACAGAAATTCAGTATCCTTAAATTGGGAACAGCGTCTTCGAATAGCTCTGAGTGTTGCACAAGGTAATGCATATCAAATATTTCCTTTTTCTGATATTGATTTCAATTTCTCAACAAGTATTTTGTGTTGTAGGATTGGAGTATCTTCATTGTGGATGCAAACCACCAATCATTCATAGAGATGTCAAGACCGTCAACATCCTCTTAAATGAAAACCTAGAAGCCAAAGTAGCAGATTTTGGGCTGTCAAGATTAGGGCCAACTGAGGATGACACTCACATATGGACTATTGCCGCGGGCACCCCTGGATATGTGGATCCTGAGTATGTTACTGATCACCGTATAGCAGAAAAGCAAAAAAACATTATACACAACCATCATCCACAGAAGTCTTTCTATGTTTTCGATTTCTTGCTCTTTTCGTTCCTACTTTTCTTTACTTCCACCCAGAAATGAAGGGCCAGACCTCTATTTCCTTTCCAGCTTACTGTTTGCCATTTGAAGGATGCATTTTTCACCCATTTTTGTCCAACCGAATTATTTATCTAATTTGGGGAAGATATATGGCCATGAATTCTCTGTGGAAGTTCTTTTAAATAAATGTCATGCTTCTTTGATTCTCTTCAAATAGTCAACAGAACTAAAAGGAAAGATGAAATTTTCCAGTGTATGGGTTGGGCCTCTACACACATTCCTACATGGAAGTAACCAACTAGTTGAAGGAACCTATCTTTTTTATGCTGTTCATTTAAACCAGAAGCCACAAGAGATTTTTTTCCACAAATAACTTGTACTTTTATGTGTGCGTATGGCGAGAAGGTTGAGAGGGACTACAGATAGTTTGATTGTCCTTTGCTTCCCTTCCAATATCTTGCCAATGCAGGTATAGATAGTTTCTAAGAAGACTGATCTACATAGTAAACTAATATCTTTTCTTCTCTTAATACAATGTTGACAGTTTCAAAAATAATAATGATAATATTAATCTCTTTTATTGAGAATATATTGTTTTCATGACAAAGTATTTCCATGGGTCATTATTTAAGTATGTATTAACTCCATTAACTGCAGGTACAACATCACGAACAAGCTCACTGAGAAGAGCGATGTCTATAGCTTTGGGATAGTTCTTTTGGAGCTTATATCAGGCCAGCCTGCAATAATTTTGGATGAAGAGAGACTACATATAGTACACTGGGTAACTCCCAAGATTAAAACAGGTGACATTGTTAGTGTGGTTGATCCGAGGTTGCAGGGGGAATATGACATTAATTCAATGTGGAAAGCCGTTGAGATAGCATTGGCATGTACACCAGAGACAGCCGTTAGGCGGCCAACGATAAGTGATGTTATCGGTGAACTGAGAGGATGTGTAGAGCTTGAGTCATCGTGTCGCAGGAGAACTTCAAGAACAGAATACCACACATCAAGCCCCATAACTGCTTCAATAAATATGGAGAAGGAACCAGGATTTGATCCTTCACCAAGGTAGTCAGCTTCAACAGTTTTCGCATGCATGTCGGAAGCCATTATAGGACAGTCAACATCTGCCAAGGTTCTCAAAGCAATTAGATACGTTGAGCAAGCCTTTTATTTCATTCTTAAATTTTATGTACTTCTGCTCACTCAACATTGAATGTGGCCCGTGATTCTCTTATGCCTTCAGTCTACTCTTCTTTGGTTTTACGAGGTAGACTAGCCTGTAATTCTCCATTATTGGGTGTAATTCTCGACTATTGAGTGTAATTCTGCAACTTGATGATATTTATTTTCCTGTTTTCTTTTAAACCAGTTTGATAAAATGCTCCATCTAGATAACTACTATAAGGGAAGGCATTGTTGTTGTGCATATAGTTGTGGCTGTAGTTTTGAGGGATGAGGACAGCCTTTTATTGACAATCAAACAGCCCATAGAATTTGAATATTTCCCAATTATAATTCAAACAAATCAATCAAACACCCCCATACAGCAAACGTCAATTCCTGAAATTATAATTAGGAAAAATCAAATAAAAATTTCCAATTTTTTCTATCAAACAAACCCTTAATTTTGCTCTCAAATCCACATGAAAGGGTGAGGAATTAAATACAATTTATTAAATAAAATTTTTTTAAGACCCTTTTATTGAGAAATTTTTTAAAGTCTAATTGTTTAGATTATCCACTATATTTTTGGATATTACCTACTAACAAAATTTGGGTTTTTTTTTTTTGTTCTTATGGATAATATTTACTCTCTCTTTCTAGAAATTGATGCAAACTTTTGGAAAATGGCGCCAAAATTCTATAAATAATTACCCCATCAATAACCAAGATAAATATGCAATTTTAACACTAACGAACCTATAGTCCTATATCAAATGGGACTTGCAATTTGGTTTGAACCCCTTACTCATATGTAAGTTAGGCTCTCTCTGGTTTTCTTTCTCATCTGAACTTTTGAGGGGAGATTGCTAGAGGTCCCCTGGTTTCTTAATATATATTCCTTCTTAATTCATTCAAGAGATGGCTTTTCAATCATTCACTGCTATTCTTAACATTCAAAATAAAAAAATTTGGTTGCTTAATTGAGTTTGCGATCTTTTAAAAGCACCCAGGGGAAAAACATCATTTATCAACTTTTGCTTATTAGTTTTTTGGTTTTCTTTCTTTCATTTAGGCCATTTTGATCGTTCACCTTGTTTTAGTGATTCTTAATTATTTAGAGTTTTTTATTTAATTTATACCATGCTTTAAAGTCTCTTGCCACAACTCTTTCTTGTCTCTTTCGGGTCATGTATTAAGAAGGGTAGATTCCTATTTCCTTGTGTTGTTTAGTTTGATTATTTGTTTTTCCTCTTTTTACACATATTTACTCAGAAAAAGGAATACATTAGTCATGTTCATTGGTTTCCTAATCCTTAGTTCTTATGTTTTCTCCTCTTTGCTTTTTTTATTTTTTTTTATTTTTTATTTTTTTTGTGATTATTTAGTTTTCATGTAAGTTTTTTCCTTTTTGACTGCTCTCACTATTCTCTAAGAGCTTCACTAGAATGACCATCCATCCTCAAAGAAGGACGGTGGAGATGAACCATAGCTTCAATTGAACTTCATCTAATCACTAATGCAATGGTTGATCTACACCTTTTTTTTTTTGACCAATGTTAATACTTTTATTAATACTATGAAAATAAAATTACATCATCAGAGATAAAAAGAGAAGATAAAAAGGCACCCCCCTTAGCCAAGTTGTCGGCCACCGAGTTCCTTTGCGATAAACATGAGTGAAGAAGACCGTAATAGTTGAAGACAAATCCATAATCCTTAGCCAGAGTGGTCGTAACTTCTAAGGAATGAGTTGTTCCGTATTATACGACTTCATCACGTTATGATAATCCCCTTCTATCCAACATGTATGGCTATAATTTCTCTCTCTAAAAATTTTCAATCCTTGATAAAGCGCACTTAATTTAGCAAAAAAATTTCGTTGCATACCCTATTGGCCCAGTATAGAAAAGAAGAGTATACAGTCTCTCAGAATACCACCAATCCCAACAATTCCGGGATTACCAAGAGAACTTCCATCAAAGTTGAGTTTTACCATATCAGCATGAGGCGCCATCCATAAACTTTTTGGTATACTCCTAATGGCACCCATATGAAAAAGGTTGTTGAGGTTAGTAAATACATCAATCTTCGTCACACCCCACCCTACTTTTGACACCGAGAGCCACGACCATATAGATAACTTAATAGAATGAATCAGACCATCCAGAGATAGAGAAACTCCTTTAAAGGTCATCATGTTTCTTTCATTCCAAACTTCCCAGAGGATAACTCCTTTTACAATCTTCCACAAAGTTTTGCCTACCTCCGGCAGATGTGGTAATAAAAGTTGAGTAACAACACCCTCAACTGTCATTGGTAGGGCCAACCTAATATATTCACCACACCAAACAACCAATACCAAATTTGGGTTGTGAAAGGGCAATGTAATAAAAGATGCGCACCATACTCCCCATCAGCTTTATCTAACAAATAGACATTTGGTAAAATCTTACCCCTTTTAATCAGATTATCAATTGTTAAAATCTTATTCATAGATACTAACCAGATAAAAATTTACACTTAATGAGGAATAGGTCTTTTCCAAATTTACACAATCTAAGGGCAAGACCATCTCCAATGATCATGAAAGAGAAGATTGTAGCAAGATTTAACCGTAAAGATGCCATCACTCTCCACCTCCCATACCATCTGATCCACTGCATCTGGCGAAATGTCGACCGTTTCCAGTAAATCCATCAATGCAACTACATTTGGTGACATATAAACTATTTTCAGTAAATCCATCAATGCACACCATTGAGCAAAGAGTGTGGTATTTAGCCTCACATACGGTAAAGGAATATGCCAAGATAAAGAATCACCTCTTCTCTCCACCAACTCACAGACCTTACTATTGGGTCTCAAAATCATCCTGAATAGATCTAGGAAGAGAGACTTAAGGGGATAATCTCCCAACCACTTATGATGTCAAAAGGAGATTTGGTCACCACACCCTATAGACCATCTAAAATAACCAGCAATCATGGACTTGTAAGAAACAATATTTCTCCACATTTGAGTATTATCTCTCCTCCTACCTCCCCCAAGCCATACTTCCGATCTAACCCATATTTAGCAAAGATGACTTGGAACCATAACTGATCTTTTAAGTGAAGACTCCTCCACCACCATTTACACAAAAGAGCTTGATTAACCATTCTAAAGCTTCTAATATCAAGGCCCCCTTCCTTCCTAGGCGTACACACCCTATCCCATCTCAAAAGATTGAACTTCCGCTGATTATTATTAGAGCCACACAGGAAGTCTGTCATCATTTTCTCAATCTTTTTGGCAACCGAGGCAAGCATATTAATAAGCGACATCTGAAACACCAGAAGGTTTGCCAAGCAAGATCTTAGAAGCGTCACCCTTCTCCCAAGAATTAAATACTTGGGTTTCCACATATCCAATTTACATTGAATTCTCTCAATCACCCTATGCCAAACAGCTATAGAAAATCTTGAATAAGAAATTGGTAATCCAATGTACAGAATGGGGAAAGAGCCCACTTTACAACCCACCACACTTGCTAAAGTCGCAAGCAATGCCTGAGGGCAATTAATACCAACAAAGGAGGATTTATGGAAGTTCACTTTAATCCTAATTGTAACTTCACAGATTTCAAAAAATAAAGCAATATTCTTAATGTGTAGGGGATCCACATCACAAAAAATAATAGTGTCATAAGTATATTGTAAATGAGAGACAACCATACTTGATTTGCAATAGAAAACCTTGAAAAATATCCCATCCTTTCCACTCTGTTCAACATCAAACTGAAACATTCAACATAAATGGTAAAGAGGAAAGGCGAGAGGGCATCCTCTTGGCGCAAGCCTCTAGAAGCCTGAAAGAAGCCAATTGTGCTACCCTTGAAAAGCACTGAGAAATGGCTAGACGAAAGGCAACCAAACATCCACTTTAAGAAAAAATACCAGCCTTTTTACTAAGGACCCTCGAGTGAATACACTCTTGTGCAATGAGAACACTATCCGTAATTTGACGATCCTTAATAAAGGTAGATTGGGTGTTCGAGATTAGAGCAGATAGTACACTCTTCAAACGTTGTGCCAACATTTTTGTAATAATTTTGTTAAAGCTGGTTAAAATAGACTGATAGGGCGAATATCTGACGAATTAGAAATCAAATATTTCTTTGGAATTAGGGCTAGAAAGGTCGAGCGTAACCCTTTGAAAATCTCACCTCGAATCAAGAAAGCCCTAACAACATCCAGCAACTTACCATTTACCAAATCCCAAAATTTATGAAAGAAACCAAGAGGGAAACCATCCGGACCTGGAGCTTTATCCCTTGGCATAGCGAAAATCGTCTTTTACAATTCTTCCATAGAAATATCTCTTTCCAAGAAATTTTTTGCTTCATCCGAGAGAACTTTGAAAGGGACTCTATTAAAGGATGGTGAAAGAGTGGCCTCTTTGAAGAAAGCCTTCTTAAAATGGTCAATAACGACCCCTTGCATAGCAACCATATCATCAGAAGCAACACCAGGAATAGACAGACCCGAAATATCATTTTGTCTTTTTCTAACACTGGCAAAGCATGGAAAAATTTGGTGTTAAGATCTCCCTCCTTAAGCCACTTCGATCTAGACCTTTGTCTTCAATATATTTCCTCTGATCTCCTTAGATCCTCCAAATCTTTAATCTTCACTCCCTTCTCCAATACCAATTGCTCTGATAAAACATCATTAGTTTGAACATTAGAATCTAGCAATTTAATCTTAGAAAGTACACCATCTATTTTGGCCTTAATATCGAACTTATGTACTCTCTTTCAATCAATCAACTTATGTTTAACATTCGAAAGTTTTTTGTGTAACTAAAAATCCATGGTACCCTCCACTATAGTATTGGTCCACATTCCTTTAATCAACTCGACAACATCTTTCTCCATCAGCTACCTAACATCCAACCTAAAAGGTATTGGTCCACCATTTAATCAACCAGTAGTCAATAATAAAGGGCAATGGTCCGAGGATACCCTGGGAAGAGCTTTGGCCCAAGCTAGGGGTACACTTCCAACCATTTCGACGCAACAAAAAATCTATCTAATTTAGACATAGCTAAATTAGTTATGTTATTATTGAATCAAGTAAATTTGGAGCCAATGATAGGGACATCAACCAAAGAATTATATTCAATAAAGCTATTGAACATCCGCATCGAAGAATTGATAGGAG